GGAGGGGTGTGGGGAGACCGAGTTGATAGGCCCCTGTGGTACTGAGTATCCCCAGGCCTCCCCAGACATGCTTGGGGACCTCCAGGGCCACTTCTAGTGATGCTCGGAGCAACTTGTGGGTTTTGAGACTGAACCCAGGTCGGCCCACACACACCAAGTGCCTCGAGCCCTGTGTTGTGTGTCCGGCCCGGCTGTGGCACTGTGTTCACACCTGCGCACATGTCCGGGTGACTAGAGCTGGTGCCCACAGCGGGTAGATACAAGGTGAGTACAACAGGAGCCTTGCTTTACCCTGGTGGGGGCAGCTGCTGGCAGCAAAGCACAGGGGTGGATCCTCTGCTGTGGTCTAGCCCACATCTGGGCTGTTTGGTATTTGGGCCACACCCAGCAGTGCTCAGGGCTATCTCCCGGCTCTGTGCTTATCAACCAGATGGGGTACCAGGCAAGCACCCTGGCAGCTGTACTCTCTCACCACTCCCTCAGACTTTTCATTTGTCCTCCTCTCCTTGCAAACTCTATTTTGTTTCCCTCTTTCCCAAATCATGTGTTCTACCGACCTTCTCCCCGCCCCTCCCCACCGTTGTTTTTTGGGGCCACACCCAGTGATGCTCAGAACTCACTCCTGGCAGTGCTTGTGGGACCCTAGGCAATCCTGGGGATGGAACCTGGGTTGGCAGCGGCCTAGGCAATAGCCTTCCCCACTGCACTCTCCCCCCAGCCCCTCATTTTTGTTTTCTGACTTGTTTTGTTCTGTTTCCTCCAAAGATCCCAGCGATTTCTAAGTGTTTTCACCACCAGAGTCGTGTTTTCTTAGTTTTCATTCACAGACTCCCGTTTCAGGTCTGAGAGATCCGTAGAATTTGCTTTTTCGTTCTGGTGAGCTTCAGACATTCTAATTGTGCAAGATAGCAAATGATCCTACTCTGACAAATGGAAGTGGCGCCCAAAGCTAGGAGGCCCCATCCTGTCATTAGCCCCTGCCACATGGTAGGGAGCCATGGGGAGAGACACCAGGGCTGAGGCACTTGGCCTGCAGGTTCAGTTCCTGCCACCACATTTGGACTCCCCCACCCCCAAATCCCAGCATCGCCAGGAGTGATTCCTGAGCACTGCCAGGTATGGCCCAAAAGGAAAAGAAAATTACGGAGTTTCTTCCAGCTGTCCCAGGTTCCCGTGAGACCAAATCAGCTCGTAGTCTTCATGGCCACCTTCCCAGGACTGGGGCTGCCAGCACGGATTTCAGGCTGTGCCCCCAGCTTGCAAAGGTCTCCACCCCCAGAAGGTATCGAAGACCAGGGTTTGTCTTGGTTTTCAAGATTGCCTTTGCAGGGGGGCTGGGAAATGTTTTGTTTTCCTCAGCAGTCTCCTGAGACAATGGCCTTCCCTGGGGAGGCATGTCCTCCTGACACCAGACTTTTCTTCCTTGGACTTCCTGTCCTGATTTTAGTGTCTTGCTGTCTCACATAGCCGCAGGATTCACAGACTATAAAGGCCTGTGAATAATTTCCCTTTATTTCAAATGTGGTGTTTATAACTAGCACATATTTATCAGATTCAAAAAAAATAAAATAAAAACTATTGAATGAGCGGCTGGAGTGATAGCACAGCGGTAGGGCATTTGTCTTGCGTGCAGCCAGCCCAGCTGAGCCGGGTTCGATTCCTCCGCCCCTCTCAGAGAGCCTGGCAAGCTATCGAGAGAGTATTCAATATGCCAAACACAGTAACAAGAAGTCTCATAATGAAGACGTTACTGGGCCCGCACGAGCAAATCGATGAACAACGGGAGGACAGTGTTTGTATTGAATGAGCCAAATATTCTGATAGCATTTGGGGGGCCCTTTGTCGGATTGTTTCCCTCTTTCCCAAATCATGTGTTCTTCTGACCTTCTCCCCTCACCCCATGTTGTTTTTTGGGGCCACACCCAGTGATGCTCAGAACTCACTCCTGGCAGTGCTTGTGGGACCCTATGCAATCCTGGGGATGGCTGTATGTTCAGTAGTTCACTTTCTATGATGATGACCGGAGCCATGATGGGCACATGCCTTCTGTGCAGTGAGTATCACCCTAGAGGTTCCAGAACTGCAGGATGTCGCCATGGTGTAGTCAGCTCCCTGAACACTGCTGGGGAAACCCCCCACCCTACCCCCCCAAATGACTTTAACCAGAATTCAAAGGACTAGAGTACATGCTGTTTGTGCAGGAGACTTGGGATTAAATCCCTGGCACTGCTGAGAGCAATGAGCTCCTTCCCCCAGCACCACGGGATGTGGCCCCCAAAGAATAACTATAACCGGAGAGGTAGTGTGTGTTTATTTTCATTTTTCCTTCCCTTTCAGTGGTGGGAAGTGAGGTTTGAGGTGAAATGATCGGTGTGGGTCATGAGCTGGTTGCAGATCTGACTTTCAGACGCGTGCCGAGGCCTGTTTGTATGACCAGAGCTTTATCGAGACGCAGATACACACACTCATCCACCAGAGGGGTCACAGGGATTTCCCACATACTGGGACCCTCTTTCCGGTGGATTCTTTTTTAACCCAGTGCCTTGTTTTTCTCCCGGCCCTGTCCCCAGGATCGACGAGAACGTGCTAGGAGCCCAGCTGGATGTTGACGCCGCCCATTCCGAGATCCTCAAGTACTTCCAGTCGGTCACCTCCAACCGGTGGCTCATGATCAAAATCTTCCTCATCCTCATTGTCTTCTTCATCATCTTTGTGGTCTTCCTTGCCTGAGCCCTGAGCCCTGGCCGCCCTGAGGCACTCCGTGGGGGTTCCGGAAGCTTCCTAGGAGGCCTGGCGGCCAGTCCTGCCTCTGAGCCTGTATAGGGCGTCTGAGAGAAAGGCCCTCCCGTTTCCTGGAACTGCTGAGAATGGCCACCGCCCTTGATCCCCCACCCCGGCCTCTGGCCACCCTGCCCGCCCTCACCATACTCCAGCCAGTGAAGCACAGACGGTTCTGAATTTGGACTCTGCTGAGAACTGGCTGGAAGGGAGCCAAGGCCAACTAGGGGGCTGGTGGTGAGGGGGAGGTTGTCTCCACCTGGAGATTTTTATAAAGCCCTCCCCAGCCTTTTCCAAAGGAGACTCCGGCAGCCTGGGGAGATGATGGCCTTCCCATCTTCCTGAGCGCCGAGGAGAGGAAGTGCAACCGCCCAGGGACCACTCTCCCATCTGGGTTAGACTTTGACCTCTTTACCATGTGAGGCCGGGCCCTGAGCCCCTCAGCTGCCTGGAAAACCCAGACTTCCGGCTGTCTGTGACTCTCGATCTGCCAAATGTGCTGTACCACAGCCTGTTTTTCTCCCAATTACAGCAAGACTGTCAACCTGACTGGCCATGTGGTCGATGGGGGGCGGGGTGGGGGCAGGCCGGGACTGTCTGGGCTGTTGGAGGGCGAGCCAGCCAGAAGAAACGGAACTGAAAGGTTGGGCCCTGCTGCACACAGCTACACGGGACAAGAAGGGACCACTGCCCGCAGCACCACAATAGCCCGGAAACCTCCCTCCCAGCTGGGAGCAGGGCTCCTGAGAGTCCCTGACTGATGGCAGCTTCCAGGACAGTCTCTAGCAATAATTTGGTCCCAATTTTGCCTTGTACTGGAAGAGGCAGGAGTTCTGCCTGCCACCAGGAATTTATTCCCAGTTCAAGTCGAGGTATCCTCCCCTCCAGAACTTACCAAGTCCATGCCAGTCCTGGGAATGGAGAGTGGCCAGGAATATTGTTCCTCCAAGGGGCTGGGCCACTGACCCAGGTCTCTCTTGACCACACCCCCCAACCACATCCAGGAGCCCCATGGTCTCACACACCCCATGGGAAGCTCAAGTAAAGACGACAATCACCAACTAAGCCTGTTGGTCCTAGTACTATAAAATAAAGGTACTATGGATAATATCTTCTTATGGATAAAAAAGGATGGAAAGCCCATCCTTTATTTTTGTTTCTTGGGCCAGGGCATGCTCAGGGGTTAAGCCTGGCTCTGCGCTCAGGAATTACCCCTGGCCATACTTGGGGGACCATTTGGGATGCTTGGGATCAAACCGTGGTCGGCCACATGCAAGGCAAGCACACTACCCACTGTACTGTTGCTCCAGCGGAGCCCAAGTTTTGTTTTTGTTTTTTTCTTTCCTGGTCACACCCGGTAATGCTCAGGGGTTACTCCTGGCTCATGCACTCAGGAATTGCTCCTGGTGGTGCTCAGGGGGAACCATATGGGATGCTGGGAATTGAACCCGGGTTGGCCATGTGCAGGGCCCTACCCGTTGTGCTATTGCTCCAACTCCGCAGCCCAGTTCCCAGGCCCCAGCTTAATATTTCTCAACCCTTCTCCCCTTAGCAGCTTCCACCAACCAGCTGAGAATGTTGGCCTAGCACAGCACATTCCTGGGGAGAAAGGGGCAGTTTTGCGAAGACAATTGCTTGCCAAGCCTGACCAATGCAATCCCGTGTAATTTGGCAAATCTGTGGGTGGGATGTGCCCCTTCCCCCCCGCCCCCCCCTCGCATAGACTGCAAATTCATTTAGTAAATATTTGTCGGGCAATGTGGGGTACTGACCCAGAGGCTGCATATAAAAGCTATAACTTAAATATCGCCGCTCTCGTGGCGTGTACGTTCTAGTTCTGTTTCCTGCTAATCGGTTTCCAGAGGCGAGGAAAGCGAAGAGGCCAAGGGCCTCGCGGAGAACTGCAAACACCCTGGATACCTCCAGGGGTCTCGGCGGGGCTCTCTCCCGCCCTTCCGCGTTCCCCTCCCATGCAGCAACCGATTCGGCGCTCGACTCGCGAGGCGTGGGAGGGGCGGGGCGAGCCGCGGCCTGGGCGGGGCAGCTGGGGCGAGGGGCGGGGCGAGCCGCGGCCAGGGGCGGGGCAGCTAGGGCGCGCGGCCTGGCCGAGGGGCGGGGCGAGCCGGGCGGGCGGCGTCCCGCCCCCGCCTCCCCCGCGCGCTTGCGCACGCGCAGAGGGCCGCGCTTCCTCTCGCCGGCTTACCCCCCCACACACACCACCACCACCTGGAGACGTCAGCGGCCCGCGACGTGCTTCGCCGGATAAATGCGGTGGCGCCGGGCGTAGGAGCGCTTCGGCCCGGGGCGCCTGAGCTTTCGGGCGTTTGGCCTCGTCTCGACCCGCGCTCGGTCCGGTGCGTGCATCTCGCAGTGCCATGGCGGACGAGGGGAAGCCGTACAACGGTCAGTGCGGGCCCTGGGGTGCGGGGAGCGGGCGATCCGGGGGCCCGGGTGGGCGGCGCCGGCCTAGGCCGCAGCCCCGGGCGCTGGGGGGGGCGGGAGGAGCCGCGAGGAGGCGCGGCGTCCGCGGGGCCGGGCCTGAGGCGGCCCCTGAGGTGGCGGGCGCCCGAGCGGGGGCGACTGGGCGAGCGGGCGGCGCGGGGCTTGACGAGGCGCCTTTGAACCCCGGGGCCGCCTCCTGCCTGTCACGCCGAGCGCGGCGGCCGGGCTCGGTGCCGTGAGTCAGGGCCGGGCCCCGGGGCGGCCGGCGCCCTATTTCCACGGCGTCCCGCCGGCCGGGCCCCCGCGCTCCGCCCGGCAGCACCCCCGCCCCCCACCCCCGGGCGCGTGTTTTCGGCGTACGGGTCCCCTCGAGCTGGGCTTGGCACCCTCCGTCGGGGCTGAGGGCCGGGTAACCGCCGGCGTGCCGGGCTGCAGCCGGGGGCCGCTTCTCCCGCAGCCCCCTCCGTGAGGGCACCCCCGCCCCCACCCCCGGGCCCGCGTCCCCGGAGCGTGCGTGCGTGCGTGCGTGCGTGCTGGCCGGGCCCTGCTGCCCACGCCCGACGGACGGGTCGCCGGCGCGGCCTGCTGCCGAGTTCTCCCAGAATGTTGGCGGCGCCTTCTAATCCGTTTCTCCCGAGGCTTCGCTCCGGGCGTTCGTTGTCTGCCAGAGGTTCCCCCCCCACCCCCCACCCTAAGGCACGAGGCAGCCCTTTGTCGGAGGGGAGTCGTGGCCGCTTTGAGGAGGGGTCCGCAGTGCCGCTCGCTCGCCCGCCGGGACTCAGAGGGAGCGATGTTCCCAGAGAGCGCGGCCCTGGCTGGCCCCTTCTGGGTCCCAAGGGTGAAGCGGGACCCCCCCCCCCCATACCCCCACGTCTGCCGCGTTTGAGACCGAGACTTCCCACGCAGCCTTTAAAGGGGCCGGACTTGAAGTGATCCCTTGGCTACCCTGTGGGCAGAAGCGTTTGGCGGAAACGGATCTGTTCCCTGCAACAACCCCACCCCCACCCCCCCACCCCCCCGGCCTTCCGACCTCCCAGGCTCCCAGCGGCCTTGACTGGCTCATGGCATTTGGGACTTGGCATTCACGACTTTTCTGGCTTACTGAACTGTGTTCAGCCACACTTGGGGGTCACGTACACACTTGCTTCCCTCCGGAGCTCCTATTTCGGTATCCAGTTTTTTTTTTCTTTTAAATGTTGGGTTTTTGGGCCACACCTCACGGTGCACAGGACTTGCTCCTGACTCCTGGCAGGGCTCAGGGGACCGAATTGGATGCTGGGGATTGAACCTGGCTCCGCCACATATAAGGCAAGTGCCCCACCCGCTGTGCTTTGTTGCTGAGGGGTTATTAAATTGTGTCCAGTTTCAAGAACCCTGTAGGGGGCTGGAGAGATAGTATAGAGGGGGAAGGAACTTGCTTTGCCTGCTACCAGCCCAGGTTCAACCCTGGCTTCCCGTGTGGTCCTCTAAGCCCTGCCAGAGAGACACCTGAGCGGGAAAGAAAAAAAAAAAACAATCCTGCCCCATTTATCCTTTTTTTTCCCCAGGTACTCCCCTTCCCTCTCCAGATAGGCAGGGGCCACCAGGCCTCCGCCACACGGCTCGGGCTGGATGGACGCCTGAAGGACACCGGACAGCTGGGACAGGGGCATCTCTTCCAACTGCTGTTCTTTTCCATGTCCAGAGCATGATGACCGCATTACCTTCCATCAGAGGAGGAAGAAGGGCCGAGGTCCTTTCCGGTGGAAGTATGGGGATGGGAACCGTCGGTCTGGAAGAGGAGGTGCCGGCGTTCGGACACCCCGCCTTGAGGACGAGGACAGAGATGTGGCAATGAGTGATGCCCAGGACGGTCCCCGAGTGCGATAGTAAGTGACTGGAGAGTCCGTCAACGGCCCCTTGTCTTGCTGTGGCCCTTTCCCGCTGTCCTTGGCATTTCTTGTCCTGGCCTGGATGTGTGAGAAAGTGCCAGGACTAGCCATGGTCCGGACAGCCGTGGGCACTGGGTGGCCTTCGAGAGCTCCCATGGACATTTTTATCCTCTGCTTCGTCGCAGCAACCCCTATACCGCGCGACCCAACCGTCGGGGAGGCGACGCCTGGCACGATCGGGACCGTATTCACGTCACTGTGCGGAGGGACAGAGCGCCTCCCGACAGAGGCGCCGCTGGCACCAGCCAGGAAGGGGTGTCAAGGAACTGGTTCAAGATTACAGTTGAGTGACGGAGGCGCTGGGGAGGGTGGCTGGAGGGCTGGGCTCAGAACGAAGGGTTTTGCTTTGCTTCTGTTCCGCTTGGTCTCCGTGTCTGTGTGCGGCCACTCAGGTATCTCTGCCTTTTCTCTGGAGAACCAGAGCCTTCTTGACGCCTCAGCAAAAGGACCAGAGCAACAGTCCTGGGGTGAATGCGCAACTCAGTGCAGCCCTAGTTCCCGTTTTCTGGACCACAAGCACCTCCAGGAGCTACTCCCTAGCACAGAGCTGGAAGTAGCCCCTGAGCACCCCTGGGTGTGGCCCAACCTCCCAATAAAGAAAAGAGACACATTGGAAAGATAGTACGCCGGGTAGGGCACTTGCTTTGCACATGGTTGATCCGGGTTCAACCCCCAGCAGCTTATTGGTCCATACCACCCCCTGCACCACCGAGAGTGAACCCTGAGCACACAGCCAGGAATAACCCTTGAGAATTGTCAGGTGTGGCCCCAAAACAAAAAAAAGAAACCGGAATAGATGAAAACTGCCTTGATGTGGAGGTGAGTTGTGAGAACTCACGATTTCCCCACTTAAATAAACATCTTAGACCTTTTAGAATCCATTAGTTTGGTTACGTTTTTTTTTTCTTTTTTGAGAGGAATAAGAAATATAAGTGGACAAAGGAATCGGTGTTTAGCTGCAGAAGCAAACCTCTTGGTGGTCTGTGCAGTGCCAGGAATGAACCTAGGGCCTCGGAAGTGAGAATGTGCTCTGCTGCTGAGCCACATCCCTGGCCCTAGAAAACCTTTATTGTGTGTGTGTGTGTGTGTGTGTGTGTGGGCGCGCATGCGTGCGCGCGGTGTATGTGTTGGACAGAGCTAGCAGTGCTCGGGCTACACGCAGTGCAGCGGCCGGGATGGGGGTGGGTTGCTTCTAGGGACCTTGGGTTCCACCTCCAGGGTACCTACATGCAAAGCCTGTGCTCCAGCCCTTTGAGCCATCTCCACACCCTGTGGAAGGATCTCTTAGAACTTGCCAGAAGGTCTGCAAGAAGCATGGGATTGGGCCTGCTATTCAGCCTGGTTACATGATGTTTCTCGTTTCTTCTTACCCAGATTCCTTACGGCAGGAAATACGATAAGTCGTGGCTCCTGAGTGTGATTCAGAGCAAATGCAGCGTCCCTTTCACCCCCGTTGAGGTCAGCCAGCCTGAGGGGAAAGCTGGGGATGGGGCGATCGTACACCCACTGGGTAGCTGCAGGGACTCTGGACCCAGGCCTAACCCCCATGCTGGTTTCTTCTCGCAGTTTCACTATGAAAACACCCGGGCCCAGTTTTTTGTTGAGGATGCCAGTACCGCCTCTGCGCTGAAGGCCATCAACTATAAGATCTCCGATCGGGAGAATCGTAGGGTGTGTGCAGGCCCGCCGGGGCTGGATGGGGGAGCAGGGCTCAGGGGGGCCTGGGGCGTGGCTTCCCTGAACTCACCCGCACTGGGTTTTCGCCCTCCCCACAGATATCCATCATCATCAACCCCTCGTTTCCGCCCCAGACGGTCCAGAATGAGCTGAAGCCTGAACAGGTGGAGCAGCTAAAGGTGAGACTCAGATACCCCTTGTGTGTGTCCATCCCTGTCTCCAGCCAGATCTCCCGCCTGCTACCCCCACGTAGCCCCCCCATCACCCCCAGAACCTGTCTCTCCCTTGGCAGCTGATCATGAGCAAAAGATATGATGGCTCCCAACAAGCGCTGGACCTCAAAGGCCTCCGTACAGACGCAGGTATGGTGGGGGTGACTAGAGGGTGATGAGGTGCTGGTTCCACCTGGGCCGGTCCACTCAGCTGCTCCTCTTGTCTCTGTGCTGCAGACTTGGTGGCCCAGAACATAGACGTTGTCCTGAACCGGAAAAGTTGCATGGCGGCCACCCTGCGAATCATCGAAGAGAACATCCCCGAGGTGAGTGTGTGGCGGGTGCCGGGTGGGACAGTGGCGGTGGCCCCGGCTGAGTCCCTGAGACCACTTCTCCCCGCACAGCTCTTATCCTTGAACATGAGCAACAATCGGCTCTACCGGCTGGACGAAATGGCCAGCATCGTGCAGAAGGCCCCCAACCTGAAGATCCTGAACCTCTCCGGAAACGAGGTGACCAGGCAGAGGTCCCTGTGGCAGGGAGGTGGGGCAGGGAACGGCAACCTGGAGGAGGAGGAGGAGGAAGGCGCCCCTCATCCTCCGCCCCCCGTTGGTGTCTGTGTAGCTGAAGTCCGAACGGGAGTTGGACAAGATCAAAGGGCTCAAGCTGGAGGAGCTCTGGCTGGACGGGAACCCGCTGTGCGACTCCTTCCAAGACCAGTCCACCTACATTAGGTCAGTTGTAGGCTGCGTCCCCCCTCCCGGGGACCTTCACCCCCCGGGAGGCTGAGCTAATGCACCCTGACCAGTGCCCGTCTGCAGGAGACTGTAGCCCCGAGCTGGAACCACGTGCCCTTGGGGAGGACCGTGTGCTCCTCCCTCCTCTCTCCTGGTGGCATCTCCCAGCTCCGCCCCCGACTCGCCCCTCCCTACCTCTCCCCTCCCTCCCTCCCTCCCTCCTCACCTCTCACCTGTCCACTGCCCTGTCTGCTCACTCTCCTTTGTGCCTCACGCTGCCTGCTCCGGACTCCCCCTCGTCGGTTGGTCCAGGAGGGGCGTCTCCCCTCGTCCCCACCCCGTCTCCTGACCAAGGAGCCGTCATCGTGAGCCCCGCCCGTGGCGTGGTGCCGCGTGTGTGCCCCCAGCCAGTATCCTGGGTTGAGAGCGCCTGCCCTGCCGGCCTTGCCGCTGGCCTTGCCTCTCCCCGGACCTTTGTCCCACGTGGGGCCCTGCTGGCCAGTTGCCCGAAAGGGGCTATCTCTCATCAGCGGCCTGTTGGCCCGACGGTGGCCCGAGGCTGCCCGCCGTGCTGAGGCTGGCGCCAGGCCGTCTTGGCTCTTGACCAGTGCTGTGAGCTTGGCCCTCCCTGAAGAAGAAACCTGGGTCCCCGAGACGCACGCAGAGCCGGGGCCCCGCCAGCCGGCGAGGGGCTCCCGAGGCGCTTCCTGGGCGTGGAGGCCATGGGGGCCAGGCTGCTGAGGAGCCAGCGAGCTCAGGCCTGGCGGGCGGGAGGGCACCGCCCTCCCGCACTGTCCACCTCACGTCACCCTGCTTGGCCCCGGAGGACGGCTGGTTAGCCAGAGACGGGTAAGATTCCTCAGGGGAGGAACAACCTAAGACAGGCACAGTCGCAAGGGGCCATCAGGAGAGCAGCTGGGGGCCAACAGTGGTGGGGCGCAGACCCTCACCCCCCCAACTTTGCAGAGGCCTGAGTCCTCACCCCTCCTGAGGGGGGTCTCCTGCCCCCATGGCTCTTTTGCTCCCCACGCCCAGCGTAGACCGGGACCCAGGTCGTAGACAGAGATCTGGCCGACAGCACCCACACCCTGGCCACGTTCCCCCCCCCACCACACACCCCGTTGCCTCGTTCCCACCTGGACCACCGCGGGGGCAGGGGAAGGAAAGGGCTGCCTCGGGCTGGCCTCCCTCTGCCCTCCCAAGGGGCCACGCCGCCTCGCCTCCGTCTCTGCTGTGGCTTCGCTGTCCTGTCACCTTGCGTCTCCTCCTCTCCACTCGCATCTCTCTCCCCGTCTCTCCCCACCCCGGCCCTGCTCCTCCCAGGTCCCCCCAACCTGCCCTCGCCTCACTCTCCTCTCCCTCTCGTCCGCCCTGCCCCCTCCTCTGCCCTCTCCCCGAGCCTTCCTCGCTCATCTCCCTGCCTCCCACATCCTGTGCCACCCCCGTGGTGTGTGCTGGTCTCGGCCTCGGCCAGACCTGGCAGAACTGATGGATCCCTGTTGAGGCCGCGGAGCCCCTGGGCTCCCACCCCACCCCCCTCCTCCCGGGGCTGCACAGGTGAGTAGGTGGCAGGTAAGGGGGGCAGGTCGGGAAGGAGGGCCTGGGCTTAACGCCCGGCTGGGAGCGCTCGGGGACAGGCCGAGAGCAGAGCCCGCCTTCACGGCAGCACCGCTGGCTGGACGGGGTGCCCGGGGTGTGGTGGGGAGTGGGGCTCTTGGTCCCCGAGCTCAGCGACAGAGAGAGAGAGAGGACGAGCAGGCGGGCGGGGGTGCCCCCGGGGTGCCGGATCGCAGCTCTTAGCACCGCAGAGGAGGCACCGCGGCCCTGAAACATCACTCACTTCTGTCCCGTTCTTGACAGCGCCGTTCGCGAACGATTTCCCAAATTACTGCGCCTGGTAAGTCCCTGGCGGTTGCGTCTGTCTGCTCTTCTCTCTGGGTGTGGGGCCACCTTCCCCCACACACACACCAGTGCTCAGGAGTTCCTCCCAGCTTAGTGCTCAGGAATCGCTGCTGGACGCCCTCCTGACCCCAGGTCCATTCTCGACTCCCCACCCCTCGCTCTGGCCCAGCACATGCGGGTGGCCATTTGGGGACAGGGATTCCTCTGGGAACCTGAGCAGAGTGTTGCTAACCCTCCTAGAACAGATCTAGAGACAAAACAGCCTCTCTGAGGGGTCCTGCGCCCCTCCCCGATGGCCTCTGGGCCGACCTGTCAGCCCTGCCTGTGCTCAGCGAGCCTTTTGCCTTTGTTTCGCACACTCAGCTTGTTCCCCCCTTTCCCCAGGATGGCCACGAGTTACCCCCGCCTATTGCCTTTGACGTGGAGGCCCCCACAGCCCTGCCGCCCTGCAAGGTGAGCTGGCGCCCGGCTCAGCCCAGGTGGGAGGGCAGCCCCGGGGACAGGCCTGACACCCCTGTGATTCCAGGGAAGCTACTTTGGCACCGAGGCCCTGAAGAATCTAGTGCTGCACTTCTTACAGCAGTAAGTGCTCCCAGGGTCCTGGGTGGGGAACGCCAGGGGAGCCCTTCGTGGGACCAGACCAGGGGGCTCAGACGTGGCTGGTTGCTCTCCTGGCAGGTACTATGCAATCTATGACTCTGGCGACCGGCAGGGACTTCTGGACGCCTACCACGACGGGGCGTGCTGCTCCCTGAGTATCCCCTTCACCCCCCAGAACCCCGCACGGTGAGTAGCGCATCGCCCCCACCAGCGGCCCCCGGCATCGCCGCCGCCCACGCTGCTCCAACCACACTCCCCTCCCCTCCGGTCCCCGCAGAAGCAACCTGGCCGAGTACTTCAAGGATAGCAGGAATGTGAAGAAGCTGAAAGACCCCAGTAAGTGTGTGCCGGGAGCCGGCCGAGAGCTGGGGTGGGGGAGGGGCGGCAGAGACTCCTAGGGCAGGCGCAGCCGGTGGGCCCTGACTGTGGACTCTCGCTCCTGCAGCCATGCGGTTCCGCCTGCTGAAGCACACGCGTCTGAACGTCGTTGCCTTCCTCAACGAGCTGCCCAAAACTCAGCACGACATTAATTCCTTCGTGGTAGACATAAGTGCCCAGACTGTAAGCACTCGTTTCTCCCCGGGCCCAAAGCTTGGGGTGGGGTCCAGACCCAGGTTCCGGGTGGGAGCCGGTAGTAAGGACTGTCTGTGTGTGTCCCCGCCTGCCTTTTTCCCTTCCTCCTGTTTCATTTTTTTGTCTTTGTTTTGTTTTGTTTGGTGGGGTTTTTTTTTGATGGAGGAGGGGGTGTTATTGTTTGTTTTGTTTGCTTTTGAGCCACACCCTGCGATGCTCAGGGGTCACTCCTGGCTCTGAACTCAGGAATCACTCCTGGTGGTGCTCTGGGGACCATTATGGGGTGCTGGGGATTGAACTTGGATCTGCCCCTGTCAGGCAGTGCAAGGTAATCACCCTACCCACTGTGCTATTGCTCTGGCCGTGTGAGTTCTGTTACTGTGGGATGGCCACACCTTCCAGTGCTCAGGGTTTATTCCTGGCTCTGCACTCAGAGATCAGTCCTGGTGGGATCGGGGGTTGTGCCGGGTCGAACCTGGGTTGTCCGTGTGCAAGGCAAACGCCCTCCCCACTGTACTGTCACTCCGGACCCAAGGCTGCTGCTTTTCTTACAGAGCACGCTGCTGTGTTTCTCCGTCAATGGCGTCTTTAAGGAAGGTAAGAACCTCCAGAGTCATCCCCGTGCCCCAGCCGCCACCCTTCTCTGACCTCCTCCCTTCCACCCATCTCAACCAGTCTTTCCTGTCTGGGGGAGGCCCAGGGAATAGGACACAGACGGGGAGTGGGGCGCTTTTCTCTCATCCCGGCTTCTCTGGGTCTGGGGGCCAAGTTTTACTCAGCCGCAGAGCCTCAGGTGGCCTGTGTGTCGAGGGAAGTTAGTGAGAGGTGTTTCAGAATGTCACTGAGGGGAGCAGTGATGTGAGTCGGGCTTGCCGAGGAATGTGGCACCCAGGTAGCCCACAGTAGGGTCCTGCTGGCGTTGATCCTCCCCGGCCTCTGAGGGCGAGTGCCCCACCTTCCTCCTGTTATCATCCTGTTACCATCCCTGTCTGGCCCACTAGGATTCTTTATTTTGTTTTGTTCTTTGTTTTTTGGGTCACACCCGGCGCTGCACAGGTGTTACTCCTGACTCTGCACTCAGGAATTACTCCTGGCGGTGCGCAGGGGACCATATGGGATGCTGGGACTCAAACCCAGGTCAGCCGCATGCAAGGCAAAAAGGCAAACATCCTACCTGCTGTGCTGTCACTCCAGCACCTGGCCCACTAGCTTTTTTTTTTTTTCTTCTTTTTGGGTTACACCCGGTGATGCTCAGGGGTTACTCCTGGTTCTGCACTCAGGAATTACTTCTGGTGGTGTTCAGGGGACCATATGGGATGCTGGGAATTGAAACTGGGTTGGCCGCGTGCAAGACAAACGTCCTACCCGTTGTGCTATCACTCCAGCCCCTCCCCCCCAACTAGAATTCTTAGTCTCCAAGAAGATCACTGTGCCTTGAAGTTGTTTGGAAGCACAGAGCACGAGGACTCAGCCTCATTTCCATTATTGTCATTGCAGTGGACGGAAAGTCCCGGGATTCCTTGCGAGCCTTCACTCGGACCTTCATTGCTGTTCCTGCCAGCAATTCAGGGCAAGTTTTTTCCTCCAAACACCTGGGACCCCAGGCCTGGCCTGCCCTGTAGGGACGGTGGGATGGGGTGAGGGCATCAGGCGCTCAGACAGGCCAGTAGGGAGAAGCCCGGGAGGCCCCGGAACCCTCTGCAAGTTGACGTTACAATATTCACTTCCTGAGTGTGTTGTGAAAACGCATGAGGTGGGTTGTGGGAGAAAGTGTCATTCTTGCGGTTTTGCTAGGTTGTCCCACACCTCAAGTCCAGGGGACAAGGGGCTCCATGATGGAAGGTGATAGCGAAGAGGAGCTTGTTGGCGTGGCAGGAGTCCAAGTGGTCAGTGTTGAGTGCAGGAATGATGTCGGGAGGTTGAGCTGGTCTCTTGGCCTGGGGCTAACGGTTGCCACTTGTCCCCAAGGCTGTGCATAGTGAATGACGAGCTGTTTGTGCGGAACGCCAGCCCTGATGAGAGCCAAAGAGCCTTCGCCATGCCTGCACCCACGCCTTCCTCCAGCCCAGTGCCCACCCTCTCCCCGGAGCAGCAGGAAATGCTGCAGGCCTTTTCGACGCAGTCTGGCATGAACCTCGAGTGGTCCCAGAAGTGAGTGCTGGGCATGTGGAGGGATAGGGGAGACTGGGGTGAATAGGAGTGCTCCTGACATTTTAAAAGCCAAAGTTTTGCTGCTTGTCTTTTTTTCCTGTTTTTCAAATGGTTTATAAAAAAGTGAGTCTAAGAATAATGTAACTTATTTTTGTGGTGTCAGGAATTGAACCCAGGTCAAATGCTCTACCACTGAACTCTATCCCAGCCCCAATCTAACATCTATTTTGTTAGTTTTGGGCCACACCTGGGGATGCTAAGGGGTTACTTCCAGCTATGCACTCAGGAATTATTTCTGCCAGTGCTCAGGGCCTGCCCGCTGTACTATCCTCCAGCCCAGTAAGACAGATTTTATTTTTTCCTTTTGTGTCACACCTGGTGATGCACAGGGGATATTCCTGGCACTACACTCAGGAATCACTCCTGACAGTGCTCCAGGGACCATATGGGATACTGGGGATTGAACCCGGGTCGGCCGCTTGCAAGGCAAACGCCCTATCCGCTGTGCTATTGCTCCAGCCCCCAGTAAAACTTTTTTTTTTTTTTGCTTTTTTGGGTCATATCCAGCGATGCACAGGAGTTACTCCTGGTTCATGCACTCTGAAATCTCTCGTGGCGGTGTTCGGGGGGCCATGTGGGATGTTGGGAGTCGAACCTGGGTCTGCGGCGTGCAAGGCAAATGCCCTACCCGCTTTGCTATTGCCCTAGCCCCCTAAAACAGATTTTAAAGCCTAAAAGTTCCTTTGGGGCTGGAGAGAGCATAGTGGTTAGGGTGCTTGTCTTCCACATGACCTACCTTGGTCGGATTCCTGGCACCCCATAGATAGAATTCCCCAAGCACAGGTTGGAGTGATCCTTGAGCTCAGAGCGAGTAGGAAACCCGGAGCACTTTCAGGTGTTATGCCAAAACAAAAACCCATGTCTTTCTGTATAGTATTCTATAATTTGCACAAATGTTTTTCCTTTTGCCCTGACTTTTCATTTGCATGAGTGTGTGCGGTGCTGGCCCGCATGCTTTGTGCATGAGGCGTGTTCAGGCCCTCGTGCAGGTTCTAATGCACATACTCCCACTCAGATGTCTGCAGGACAACAACTGGGACTATACCAGATCTGCCCAGGCCTTCACTCTTCTCAAGGTAAGGGTTAGGGGTCCGGTGGGAGGCTCCCGCTTGCTGGGGACCAGGTTGCAGGACCTGCAGGTATTTTTGCGTGGTTTTTTTTTTCTCCCAAGGCCAAGGACAAGATTCCTGAAGTGGCTTTCATGAAGTGATCCAGAGTCATCCCAGAAGCCCCTGTAAATAAATAGCCCTTGGATAGCCCGGTTTCTGTGTCATCATTGTCTTCCCTGGCCGGAGGCCGCCCTGTGACTGTGACCGTGGAGGGGGGCCGCTGGATTCCGCTCCTCTCCTCGCTGGCCTTCTGGGAGAGTTCCAGAAGATTGACACTCATTGGTGCCAGGACCCTAGAGCGAGCTTTGTAGAACTCACACTAAAGTACTCAAAGGACTTAGGTGCTTTGAACCCTCCCTACTTTTTAAAATAAAGAGTGATATTGTATTTTGTGCCCCCTGTGTGCCCGATTGTTTGCTTGGCTCTTCCCTAACCCCTGGACCGCAGCCCCCAGTGGTCGCGGGGGCGGGGCGGGGCCCCGACAGGAAGTCCCGCCCCGGAAGCCGCGCCTGGCCGACCATGGCGGCTCCCGCGCGGCGCTGGCCTGCGCGGCTGCTCGCTGTGCTGCGCGCTCTGCCCGGGCGCCGGGCCGTGCACGACTGTAGCCCGCCGCGGGACGTGCTGCTCTTCGAACACGAGCGGAGCCGCTTCTTCGTCGTTCTGGGGCTGTTCTGCGCGGGCCAGGGCGTCTTCTGGGCCTCCCTGGCTTGGGCGGCCTTGGCCGGCCCCACCGGCCCGGCTCGACCCCGGGACGCGGAGTCTGCAGGGCGCGGCCGCCAGGACCTGCGTTCCGCGCTCTGGCGCTACGGCCTGGCGGCCGGTTGCGGCGCCGTAGGTAAGGCGAGGGGGTTGCTTTGCTCGGAGAGCGGGGGTGGGGGGCGCTGGGCTGTCCCGGAGGATTGGCAGGGCTAGAACCCCCCCAAGCGGCACCCTCACCCAGAGAGAGGTAGTGAGGCGCTGTGTCCTAGGCCGTCTGTGGCTGGGAGGAGTGGCACGACATTGAGGCTCAGCAGGGCCAGGAAGAAGCCCGGGTGGGTTTGCCTTGCATGCAGCCCACCCGGGTTCGGGCCTGGGCACCGCATCGGATACTCCCCGAGCCCCGACGGGCATAATGCTCCTCAGCGCAGAACCAGGAATAAGTCCAGAGTACTGCCACATGTGACCCTCAAGCAAGGGGGAAAAAAAAGCTATTGCCCTAAACAAAACCACCAGGAAAGGCTCACTTTTTTTGTCTGTACTTCCTGTAGGGACCCTGGTGATTGGCGCGGGTCTTCTCTTCTCCCTGCGCTCGGTGCGCTCCGTGCTGCTGCTGGCTGGAGGGAAGGAGGTGTCTCTCACCACTCATGCCCCCTTTGGTTTGGGGGCCCATTTCACAGTTCCTTTGAACCAGGTGTCCTGCATGGCTCACCGCGGTGAAGTCCCGGCCATGCTGCCTCTGAAGGTCAAAGGCCGACGCTTCTACTTCCTCTTGGACAAAGCTGGACATTTCCCCAATGCCAAGCTCTTTGACAACACTGTGGGGGCTTACCGTAGCCTGTGAAGCAGCCACCTTGGGTCAGTCGCCCTTTTGGGAAGGGACTAAAAACTGAACCTTCAGGATGACTGACAACCTGGGTGCCCAAGAGCCATTAATAGGAAATAAATGGGTGGTCCCCCCAGGGGCACTGGCCACCAGGACTGTCTCAAGTTTTCTGGATTTGTCTTCGTTTTTCTTTGGGCTCTACACCCAGAAATCACTCCTGGGGACTACATGGGGTGCCAGGGATTGAACCCAGGGTCAGCTGTGTGCAAGGCAAATGCCCTCCCTGCCATACTATTGCTCAGGCCCCAAGGACCACTTAAGTTTTGATCCATGAGTTCTTAACCCATCACCCTCCTGTCAGTGCTCTTAACACTGAGAACTAAGTACCAATACGAGAGAAGAAAGGAACACTATTTTGGTACAAAAATAGCTGTAGGAAGAGATGGAGGAGGGGGCCTGCCATCAGGATTCACTGATACAGGCTCCCTGCCGTGCAGGACAAGAGGACTTCCAGCACCCAGTCTGATCTTGGCAGAAAGACTCTCCTTGCTCTTCAGTAATAGGGGAGGCGAGTCCCAACCAGCACATCAGTCTCAGAGCTCCACGCAGGGTCCCCTCTCTGCCGAGGCCGGAAGGAAGTGGCTTCAGACTTCCACTGCACAATTTGGAGCACCAACACCACACACCACAACAGCAGATTCACCCAAGAGGAGATCTGGGACGGAGAGAACCAGAGTAAACAGTGCGGGCACCTCAAATCCACACGGATCCCACTTAGCTAGCAGCAGCCCCCAGGGCTCTCTTACAGCCACAGATGCTTTCAGGAATCCTTCATATTTTCCACCCAGGGTGACATATCCCAGAACTCACTTCAGCGTTGTATAGATTGGAGTAAAACTGCAAAGCAATTCCAGGGGGTGTCCATCGGATTTTCTGGGCTGCAGAGCAACTGTAAGATCAAAGAGACTTGTGAGGGGGGGGAAAGAGGTGCTGTTTAAGCACACCTGTGCCTGCGTGGCCTTGTAATAAGGGCGAGAGGCAGGTACAAAAGGGGGTATCGCTACCCTCCCATTATTACCTATTTGTTATGTTCTGGGAGACGATGGATTTGCAGAGAGAACTGGTACCAAAATGAAGAATACAGGCGGACACTAAGAGCAGGAAGATGGCTAGAACGGAGACGGCCAGTGCTATGCGGAGCCCAATGGGGCCTCTAGAGAGGGAGAGAACAGGCCTCTGGCTCGAGATGAGTCTCCTCCCACTTGGCCCCCAGCCCCTGGAGTGGTGCAGTCACCTGTAGGAATCCTCAATGCAGCTGCTGTAGACCCAGAAGAGCAGGTGGAGGAGACAGTAGAGGGCCAGGAAGCCGGAGGCCCCGGTCACAAAATAGCAGAGCGATGGGGCCGAGGGCTGGGACAAGGCCAGAGAGGTGCCATTCAGGGTAGCCGCACCGTACAGGGGACAGCTGCCCCTGAAGGAGCCCTGTGGAGAGAAGCGACTGAGTCCGGGATGCTGAGTTAGGGCCTCTGGATGCAGGCCGGCGGCAGGTGTTAGGACAGAGGCCAGAGCCAGCCTCGGAAATTAGCTGTGCATGCACAGTTCCTATCTCTGCCCAGAGGAGCAGGAAACAGAGGGTGCTTATGAGAGACGGTGAACTCGAGAGCTGCTTCTTATGCTGTGTTCTCTCTGCAGAAAGCCTAAAGCAGCGTCCTTTGCCCTTTACACCTGCACACCGGCAGCTGCCCTGGTCCACAGCCGCAGTTTAAATCAAGGCCGTCTGGCTGGTGGCTTTCAACTTTTTCCACCTGTGTACCTGCAGCTGAAGAACGCTGGCCTGGAGTAAAATGAAACCTTGTAGAACCTTCACAACAATCTCCAGTGTCTTCTAATATGCAGAAGCAGCGCAAACCTCAATCAATATTGCCCAGCTTGAGGGGGCGAGGGGGGGTGGGACGGGGCAGGTGTAAACTAGGCGCCTCTCCATTAACTGTTCTACAGTGTCACTGAACCCATTGTGTTGCAATCAAGGTGGCTTAAATCCGCTCGCTACAGTATGCTTCATAGCTTAGCTCAGCAGAAGTTTCTTGGCCTATTTGAAGAAGGCGGTTGGGTCCAGCTCTGTGCAAAGTAAGCAGAACGCCTGTATTATCTCTCTGGCTCAACAAGTCTCTTAGAAGATGACAGTAGAGCCACAGAGGTGACCCTAGGGCTTAGCACAAGCCTTGTGGGAGCCTCAGATCCGCCCTCGGGGGCCGCACGGTCCCAGCACCACGGGGCGTGCACACACCCCAAAGATAGGCAGGTCCTGGAGCCCACTCCGTTTCCGAGTTAGAGTAGGTGCGACCAGGCTGGGCTACGGTGCTGCAGGCACTCCTGAGGACCGCGAGGAACTACCTTCCCGGTAATACCTTTGGCAACCCAGCGCCTGCCAAGTTACAGCCTTTCCACCGACCCCGTGACCTAGCACACAGTGGCGTCTGCGCGCCGGCACCGGCCAGCCCCCGTCTTCCCGGCCCGGCCCGCCCCGCCGCCGCACCTGGGTCCGAGTCAGCGCCACCGCCGCCACGGCCCCGCACAGGAAGGCGGCGGCCAGGAGCGTAAGCTCGACGCGCTGCAGCCAGGGCAGCGCCATGGCGCGCCCCCACCACCACCACGGCCACGGCCACGGCCACCGCCAGCAGCACCAGGAAGCGCCGCCGCCGGAAGCAACCGCCCAAGCCCCGCCTCCCCCGGCGCGACCCGCGAGCGCGCAGACGTCACTTCCGGGCGCGGCCTTTTATTTACAGCGGCAGGTACAGCGAGTAGTCCGAGAGCGCCCAGCGGCGCGCCGGGCGGCCGGTGCGGCCGATCATCGGCAGCTTCTGCACGTAGCGGGAGGCCGGGCTGGGCCCGTAGGGCGCGGGGAAGGCGGTCTGGAAGAGCCGGCCGCGGCACCGCCGCCCGGCCTGCCGCCCGGCGATGATGAAGCGGAAGTGCGGGGCGCCGCGCGGCGCGAAGCGGCTCTTCTGGAAGACGTCGCGGGTGCCGGCGCCCGGGCCCTGCTGCCGGGGCGCCCCCCGCGCGCGGTGCACGCGCGGCAGCGGCCGGCTCTCGGCGGCCGAGGCGGGCGCGGACGCCGACGGGCCGCCGCCCCGGGGGCTCTCGTCGCCCTGCGGGCTGGCCGTGGCGTGGGCCGTCAGCTGCGGCATCTTCCGCACCGAGTCCGGGGCGGCCGCCGGCTCCTTCTTGTCGCCGGGCGGCCGCGGGGCCGTGGGCGCCGGCTGGCCCGTGCCGAAGCGGGTGGCCAGGCTGTCCCCGAAGAAGGCGTAGAGCTCCCGGTAGATGTCCGCCAGGGTCACCGAGGGCGACGGGTCCTCCGGGCCCGCGCCCGCGGCCGGCGGCGGCGGGAGGCCGGCCCCGAAGCCCGGCTCGGCGCTGCCCCCCGACGGCGACTCCTGGAGGAGAAGGCTGTCCCAAGGCAAGTCCTCGGCCCGCTGCCGCCACCCGCCGCCGCTGGGGCCACCCTTGCTGGGCTCCGCCGCCTGGGCCTTCATCTTCAGCAGTCGCTCCACGGCCACCTGGAGGAGCAGAGGGATCAGCACGTGCCAAAAACAGGAGGGGCCAGGGCTCTTTATATATATATATATTCTGCTCCCCCCTTTCTAGCTTTGTTGGGTCACACCCGGCAACGCTCAGGAAGTGTTCCTGGCCGTGCCTGGAGGACCATAGGGATGCCCGAGATCGAACCCCGATCGCTCGCATGCAAGGCAAACGCTCTCCCCACTGGACTATCGCTCCAGCCAGAGCTCTTTTTTTTTTCCCCCAAGTGCAGGGCCAATCCTCTGCTCAGCAGCACCCAAGCTTGGAGAAGAAGCAGGAAGGGGCTGGCACTCACCAAAATGGCTCCGTAGACTTTGTGGCCGTCTGCTTTAACCTGGGCGTTGGATACCGAGTAGTCATCTAGTACAGCCTGCAGATTCGTCCAGTATGTGGACAGGTGTGGGTACAGGACCCGTTCTACTGCCTGGACAGGAGACAATGCAGTGAGCTCCGGGTGGCTTAGTGCCTCCAGTATTTCCTGAAGACACCTTATCTCAGACTCAGCAGGGCTCAGTCTACCTAAAATTCCTTGATCAGCCTGTGCTGGCCGGCATTTATCTCGAACCTACTGTTGGCTAGACAATGAAAAAGATCAGGTACACAAAGTGACCCCATTATCACTGACATCTGTGCCCTTCAAGATGAAGACTTAGAGGTAACATACATCTTTAGTGACAGGTGATGCCCATAGCTAAAATGTGAGAAATTAACCTAAATATTATTAACCTATTTCTTAGGTTCACATTAAGGAATGTTATAAAAGAATCCTGAAAGACTGATTTAGAGGGGGAAAAAAAGGCTTTTTTATGAGGCGGTGAGGCCAAATAGGGGGAAAGCACAAAGGTCCTTGCTCCTGCTCCTTGCAAACGGGAGTCTGGGTCAGATGCCAGCACAGTCAGGAGCAGCCTAGAACACAGCTGGGAGGAGTATCTAAGCATCACTGCCCCTCAAGCCAACAGCAAATAAAATTGGGGTATGGGCATGCCAAGAAATCTCAACATCAGGGCTGAAGCAATAGTACAGCGGGTAGGACATGCACACGGCCGACCTGGGTTCGATCTCCAGCATCCCATATGGTCCCCTGAGCACCACCGGAGTAATTCCTGAGTGCAAAGCAAGGAGTAACCCCTGTGCATCGCCAGGTGTGACCCAAAAAGCAAAAGAAAAAAATCTCAACATCAATGCTGTAGACAGCACTCACGGCTGCAGTGCATGAAGAAGTGGCACACCCTGGGACTTCATGATGCCCCAAGCAGAGAGTAGCCTGAGAACAGCTCAGTGTGGCTCTAACCTCCCTAACACTCCCCACCCCACCACCACCACTGCCCAAAAAGTCTAGCAGCAAAAGATTTGCTCTGGGTATTCCAGAGCAGGTACAGTGCTCACTTTGCATGCAGACAACTTGGGTTCCATCTCCAGCACCTCGTATGGCCCCAGAGCTTGCCAGAACTGATCCCTAAGCTCAGCTAGAAGTAAGTCCTGAGCACCTCCAGGTGTGGCCCCAAAGCAACAAAATTTGGCCTGGGTGGTCACGGATCAACACAAACTCCATTAGTCAAAGCTGTCCACAGTCTGCAAAGATGGTACACAAGTCGCTTGCCTTGCACGTGGGGTGCCCATTTCAATCCCTGATCCTGCATAATAATCCCCCAAACGCTGCCAGGAATGACCCTTGAGCACCACCAGATAATATCCCCAACACCAAATTAAAAATCTAATCTGTCATCAGGAAAACTAGTGTGCAATGTGGTAATTTCCACAGATGCCACAAAGATAGCTGACGGTTTAATGGACACAAACAGAAGGAGACTGGAGTGATGGTGCAGGGCCTAAGATGCTTGCCCCGTATGCCACCAATCCTAGTTTGATCCCCAGCACCACATGTGCTCCCCTGAGCGCAGAGACGAGTAAGCTCTGAGAACTACCAAATACGCCCCCTCAAAAAGAAATTATACAGGAAGAACTAAGGAATATCGTTCTGGTGCTATTTTTTTGGAGGGACATGAATAGAGCTTGAGGTCATACCCAAAGGTACCCTCCTGGCAGTGCCAGGAATCAAACTGGGGGGTCAGCTGCATGTAAGGCAAGCGCCTTCTGTACTCTCTACCTGCCACCTGCAGCCCAGGGCATTACTTTAACATTATAGCATGGGGGAGCGGGAGGTTGGAGAGAGCATCAAGTGCTGGTGAATGTCCTTGAGCCCTGGTTCAACCCCCAGCACAGCTTAGTTCCCCAAGCACCTCTGGGTGTGGCTCAAACAGAATGGAATGGGCAGGAATGTATAAAATGGGCTCCATACTAGCGGGCTGGACAAAGCATAGGGAGTGAGACACCTACCTTACACACAACTGGCCCCAACTAATCCCTGACACTCTGCATATGGTCAGTCCCGAGACCACCAGAGATCACTACTGAGGAACTGCCTCTCAGCAGCACCAGGGAGATCACTACTGAGGAACTGCCCCTGAGCACCTCCAAGAAGATCACTGAGGAACTGCCCCTGAGCACCACCAGGGATCACTACTGAAGAACTGCCCCTGAGCACCGCCAGTGAAATCACTACTGAGGAACTGCCCCTGAGCACCACCAGGGGTCACTACTGAGGAACTGCCCCTGAGCACCACCAGGGAGATCACTACTGGGGAACTGCCCCTGAGCACCACCAGGGAGATCACTACTGAGGAACTGCCCCTGAGCACCTCCAGGGAGATCACTACTGAGGAACTGCCCCTGAGCACCTCCAGGAAGATCACTACTGAGGAACTGCCCCTGAGCATCACCAGCGCAACCCAGTAACTCCCAGCCCCAACATACGGAACAGTCTTCTAGTACCTGCCACACAAATTTCTGAAAGGAAACTCGAGCCCTGAGCCAGAACTCTGTAAGAGCACCAGTAGCTGGTAAACGGAAACCACTTGTATAATAAGAGACCCAACTACAGTTTTCCTAACTACAACTGACAGCTCTCGTGGCTGTGTCGAGGGGAGAGGAGAGGGTCCTCACCTTCCAGCCGAGGGCGTGCAGGCCCACCACGGCCCCGTAGTGGGAGCACAGAGGCCGCACGGGGTCCGCCAGGACCTTCTGCAGGGAGAGCAGGATCTGCTGGTAAAGGCCACTGACAAGGTCTCCGTGAGTCCTGCGGGAGCAAGTCGGCGCCGTGAGGCACAGCCACTGAGAACAAAGCCTGACAAAGCGCGTGATGGTCTAAGATCCAGGCGCCCGGGGCTAAGGACCAACCCCCAGTGGACCTGTCCCTCATCTGTACCATATATCACAGCTCTCAGGGAAGGGCCAAAAGGGGCTCCTGCACCTCGCAACCAACCCTGTCAAGGCCCAAGTATCCACCCCATCTCCCTGCCCCGAGCCCCTCAGCTGTCTCAGTTCCAAGCCCAGCGGCTACCAGAAGATATGGCTGAGTAGGAGGGCAGCGCCATCCCGCAGGGTCCAGTGGTCATTCAGGGGGTTGATGGAGGCAGCCAGGGGCTCCAGGACACAGTAGAGGACGCTGCCCACCAGAGAGCGGACGTAGGGCCCCAGGCAGAGGTGCGGGTTCCGCACCAGGCTCCGGGCCACCTGCAGCAGCCGGTGCAGCTGCTCCAGGTCGTGGCTGACGGATTTCACCTGTGGGAAGGAGAGGCAGGGGCGCTGAGGGGCACACGGAGGGGTGGAGTGGGGAGGGGGGTGCGTGACACACTACATGGTAATTTCCACGAAACACCCACCGGGGCTCAGCCTGGCGACTTACCCCACTGACCACATACACAAAGTAAGGCAGCAGCGCTGCGATCTTGGAGTTGGTCTGCAGGTCTTGGAGAGCAATCTGAAAAGGAACGGGCCAAACCACACTGGATCCGAGTGCACAAATTCATTCTCCTTTTTCTGTAGTGCTGGGAATGGAACCCAGGGCCTCGCGCAATGCAAGGCATGTGGCTTGGTCACTGAGCTACATCACTGGCCTTCAGGCTTGCAAAACGAGGTTGAGAGTAGCCCAGAGAGACCACAAGGGCGCCAAGGCGCTTGCTCTGCATCCCGCTGACTCAAGTTCAAATCCCTGGCCCCCAAAGACTTGCAGGGCTCACTCCTGAGCACAGACCCAGAAATAGCCCCTGAGCACCACCCGCGGAGGCCCAACCTCCAAACCCCAAACTGCTTCAACTGACTTTTTTTGGTGTTTGAACAACACCCAGCAGTGCTCAGGGGTCACTCCTGGATCAAACCTAGGCCATCTGCATGCAAAGCATGAACAAGGGCCCACTGAGCTGCCTCTCAGGTCCTGCCATTAACTTTTATGTGTGGCTGTGTGTCGCCAGGCATTGAATGTCCCTGGTCATAATCATTATCTATCTTTTTTTTTTCTTTTTAGGCTCACACCCAGCAATACTCAGTGGTTACTCTGGCTCTGCTTGGGGCACCACATCGGGTGCCAGGGATGTCTGGGTTGGCATCATATGCAAGGCAAGCACCTTCTCTTCTGTACTATCGCTCTGGCCCATCCATAAGTTTTTAATTGGTTTTGGGCAACACTTGGCGGTGCTCAGGGTTCACTCCTGGCTTTGTGGTTGGGGATCACTGTAGCTGTGTTTAGGGGATCATATGTAGCGCAAGGGATTGAACATAGTTGGTGGCATGCAAGGCAAGTGCCTTAGTCCCTGTACTCTCTCCAGTGCCTATAACCATAGCTTTTTTAATTTTTTTTGGGGGGGGAAAGGGAAGTTTGGACTACATCCAACAGTGCTCAGCACTTACTCCTGACTCTGTGCTCAGGGATCACTCCTGGCATTACTTGGAGGACTAATAGGGTGTTGAGGGCCAAACCTGGGTCAGCCACCTGTAAAGCAAGCGCCGCCCTGTTGTACTGTCACACGGGCCCCTCCAACCTTCACATTCATGCCTCAATTAAGCGCACTCCACTCCCAGACGAACGTGGCAAGGAAAGGCGCACGCACCCACCTTCATCAGCTGCGCGTCGTCCCCCAGTACGGCCCGGGTCACCTGCTGGTAGTACTTGAGAAGGTCATCCGTCAGGGAAGACACGGCGCTGGGCACTGTGAGAGGATGGGCAGGAAGCGGTCAGGTCTCTGCCTGCTCCTGCAGAGAGCCCGTTCCCACAGGCCTTCCCAGGAAACCACGCTCAGCCCGGAGACCTAACGCTTGGGGTTAAGGCTCTTCCCTTGCCAGCGGCTGACCTGGGTTCGATTCCTGGCACCACCTGGATCCTCCCTGAACACAGAATGACAAATAACCCCTGACACTGCCAGGTGTGACCCCCCACCCCCGCAAAGCACTCCCCCCCCACACACACACAAAAAAAAGAGAGAAAACCGTTCCTCTGGGCTGCCCACCCAGCCCTGAGCTTACAGGCTCTCTGTATCGCTTCTCTGTCCACGGCCTCAATCTTGGTGACTGTATTCATGTTCAAGCTCCCAGTTCTTAGCAGTCCCTGGGAGGGAGACTCCCCTTCCTCCTGTAATCCCAGACTGCTGCACAGGCGTCCAAGAGAACACCCAGGACAGAGACTCATGGCCACCTTCAAGACTGGGTTCCAGACGCTGGAGCGATAGCACAGTGGGGAGGGCGCTTGCCTTGCACGCAGTCAACCCGGGTTCGATTCCCAGCATCCCATATGGTCCCCCAAGCACCGCAAGGAGTAATTCCTGAGTGCAGAGCCAGGAGTAATCCCTGTGCATCACCGGGTGTGACCCAAAAAGCACAAAAGAAAAGAAAAAGCCTGGGTTCCAGGGCTGGAGCGATAGATAGTACCGCGGGAAGGGTGCTTGCCATGCACGTGGCTGACCCAGTTTCAATCCCTGGCACCTATATGGTCCCTCAAGCCCGCCAGGAGTGATTCCTGAGTGCCGAGCCAGGACTAGGCCCTGAGGTGACTGCCAGGTGTGGCCCCCAAATAAAACAAACAAAAGACTCCACTGTAAATCCTGAGCACCTACAGGTATAGTGCAAGGGGCCGTGCGGGTACCCTAGGGGCTTAAAGGCACCACCCTGGGGGTGCTAAGGGACAGAAGTTCCACCCGGCCGGCACCCCACACCACCCCTTACTTACCGGAGCCTTGGGGGGCCAGCTTCCCTTTCCCATCCAGATAGGAGACGTGAACTAGAAGCAGAGCAGGGGGAGAGGGGTCAGCCTGGAGGTGCGCGCCTCAGGACACCCCTCCCCGTCCGGCCCCAAGGCACCTCGCACAGCCGTCTCAGCGCAGCCTTTGGGGATGTTGGTGGCCAGCGCCAGCTCCACCAGGTTCACCTCGCGGTCCTCAGGGAAGTAGAGCTCCCCTTCCCGGGCGGGCCGCAGCGGCAGTGCCTCCTGGGACCCGTGACCACACACAGCCTGCGGGGAAAGAGGGGGCCACCTGCAGGGACTGTGTCAAGAACCCGAGAAAGGGGCACCCACACAGTGCTCACGAGTTTCCAGACCCGAGCAGGGAGTCCCCAGTCCATGAGGGAACCCCCCCTCCTCCCACCCACGTTGCTCAGCCTCGGCCCCTGGAGAGGCTCTTCCTCCGCGGGGTCCCCGAGGATCAAACCAAGCCCCCGCCCCCAGGAAGCCTTCCCAGCTCACCCGGTGCCCGGTGCCCCCAGGCACCCCTCACCTCCACGCTGCTCCAGCGCAGGGCCCGGTTGAAATCCTCTACCGTCAGCTTCCGCCGCTTGGTGTGTTTCATGAACTGAGAGCTGTTCTGGGAGCAGAGGGACACGGTTGGGCAGGGACCACGGCCGGGAAGCAGCGAGGATGGACAGGCCCCCAGACCAACAATCAGAAATTCTGGAGGGAGCCCGGAGCTAGAGCACAGCGGGCAGGGCACCTACTTTGCACAGGGACCACCTCGCAGCATCCCATAGGTGTCCCCAAGCACCACCAGGAGTGATTCCTAAGTGCAGAGCCAGGAGTAAGTCTGGGTGTGGCCCCAAAACAAAAACAAACAAAAGAAAGTCTGGATTTGGGACAGGGATGGGGGAACACAGTGCAACAGTATAGCGAGTAGGGTGCTTGCCTTACCCATATGGTCCCCTGAGTCCCACAAGGACCCGAGAGCAGAGACAGGAGTAAGCACCTGGCCCCCAAACCAGAACAGACCAAAAAAAAAAAAAAAAAAAGCTGGATGGGGCCCAAGGGGCCGCTGAAAGGAAGTCAGAGGTCAGTCAGAGGTCAGTCTCGGCACTGCATGGTCCCCTGCGCACTGGACCCAGGAGTGACCCCACGCAAAGAGCTAGGAGTAGCTCCGAGCGCTGGAAATAGCTCAAAAACCCAAAAGGGCTTGGGGGGAAGGCTGGAAAGAGTGCAGCAGGGCAAAGGGCCTTATCCTGCTCCTGGTTCCAGGCTAGGCCTGGGCAGCCCACAGGATTTTTCTTCATTTGTTTCTTCAAACCAAAGAAGCAGAAAAAATTGCAAGGCTTAAATGCCAACTCTGCTTTTTGGTTTTTGCTGTGTTTTGTGGCCATACTCACACCTGGCTCTGAACTCAGGAATTATTCCTGGGGACCATGTGGGTTTCTGGGAATCGAACCCGAGCAGGCCGCTTGTTAAGGCAAGCGCCCAGCCTGCAGGTCTGCTTTCTGCAATGTGCCCTGGCTCTGGTCTTGGGCAAACCTCCCACCCTTATCTGAGCCTCAGTTTCCCCCAGGCAGAATGTGGTCTGAAGCTGTTCTGCCAGGCCAGGCAGGAGAGGGCTCATAGCCCCCAGGGTCTCTGCACCTAACAGAGCAGATGCCTCAAGCACCCCGATAACCCCTGTGGGGTGGGGGTGTGGCCCGGGGGAATGGGGAACCTCCGTGAGACTGCTCCCCGGGCGGAGTGAAGTGCTGTGTGCTCTGCCCAAGCACTGCTAGGTGTACCCCGAAAACCAAGAAGAGAGAAACAGGAGGATGGGGTGCGGGTCGGGGGTACCTGCGTGGCCTCTCGCAAACGATAGCACACGTCCTCGGCCAGCAGAGCTGCCACCTCGTCACTCAGCTCCAGGCCGGTGCTCTCTGCCATAAGCCGCACGGACTCCCGAGGGATCTCCACAAAGCGTCGCTCCTCTCGCTCCGACATGGCCCCGACGGAGCTGCAGGGGAGGTGTGGGGGGAGGGGGTTGCAGGGAGAGGGGGGGCTCTGAGCAGCCGCCTGAGTCCGTGATGGCCCCAGAGCCTGACTCAAGCCCTGTCCACAGTCAGAGCCCCCAAGAGCTCTCGGTGTCCAGCCAGAGAGACTGAGGCTCAGAGCAAGAATCAGACAAGCGCAGACAACAGGGACATTTGCCCTGCACCCTGAACTCTAACAGGGAAATCACCCCAGCACAAGGCTACTGCGCCAACCTCAGGAGAAAGGGCAAACGGGTGATGTTGCCATCGGTCATTATGAAAAACATTTTGGGGTCAGAGCGATAATACAGCGAGTAGGGCATTTGCCTTGCCTGGGGCCGACCCGGGTTCAATTCCCAGCATCCCATAGGATCCCCCAAGCAATGCCAGGAGTAATTCCTGAGTGCAGGGTCAGTGAGTAACCGCCAGGTGTGACCCCCCCTGAAAAAAAAAAACCATTTCAGAGGGACAGAGAGACACTACAGTGGATAGGGAGCGGGTCTCGCACGTAGCCAACCCAAGTTCTATCCCTGCTACCACCTAAGGTCCCCTGAGCCCCACTGGGTGGGATCCCTGAGCACCAACAGCTGTGGTCCCAAACAGAAACCAGGATCTTCTTTCTTTTTTGCCAATTCAGTAAGAGCTTCAAGAAATAAAAAGGGAAAGGCAGGGGCTGGAGCAATAGCACAGCAGGTGGGACATTTGTCTTGCACGCGGCCCAACCCGGGTTCCATCCCCAGCATCCCATATGGTCCCCTGAGCACCACCAGGGGTAATCCCTGAGTGCAGAGCCAGGAGTAACCCTTGTGCATCGCCGAGTGTGACCCAAAAAAGGAAAAAAAATGCATAAAAATATTTTTTAAAATAATACAAAATGGAATCCCTAAGTGAAAAAAAAAGGGAAAGGCAGGAAAATTCCCAGATTATGGGAGGGGTCTCCTAAAGCAGGAGCCCCAAAGACCTCATTTCCAGATGCCCAAATATCCTCTCTCTTCTGTCTGAAAGATCAGACAGATCTTTATCTGCCATGCTTGAGTCTCCTAAACTATCTCTTCTCACATGTTACCCACTTGGGGAAATCTCAGACCCCACGTGTCCCAACTCTTTGCTTTGAAAGCAGCGGACGGAACCCGGGGCCTCACGCGTGCAAGACCAATGCTGTGTGAACCACAAGCCTAGCCCTTGTCAGAACACATTCCTGGGGGCTGGAGCAATAGCACAGCGGGTAGGGCGTTTGCCTTGCACGCGGCGGACCCGGGTTCGATTCCCAGCATCCTATATGGTCCCCTGGGCACCACCAGGAGTAATTCCTGAGTGCAGAGCCAGGAGGAACCCCTGTGCATCGCCGGGTGTGACCCAAAATGGAAAAAAAAAAAAAAAGGAACACATTCCTGGAACTCTTTTTTTTTTTTCCCCCTTTTCGGTCACACACAGGGATGATCAGGGGTTACTTCTAGCTCTGGACTCAGGAGTTACTCCTGTGGTGCTTGAGGATGCCAGGGATCGAACCCAGGTCGGCCGCGTGTAAGGTAAATCCCCACCCACTGTACTATCACTCTGGACCCTCCTCCTGGAACTCTTGTTGCAGTGCTGGGCATGGCACCCTGCACTGCTCAGGGATCCCACCTGAGGGAGGGGACAGTGCCAGGAGCGGCAGCTGGGCCTCACGCAGGCAAGCCACATGCTCTGCAGCTGGAGGCACAAGCCCAGCTTCTGACGCTTCCGATGAACGCCCACATCTCAGCAGACCGAACGCTCAGCCAGCCAGCCGGCATCCTGCTCGCTCACCTTTGCATCCCCAGCGTCCAGCAGCGTCAGCACATAAGAGACTCAACAAACACTGGCTGAGGATCAAAATACAAAAAAGACAAAAATAGATAAAGGACTGTTGTTTTTCCTACAATTAAGTAACTTTTTAGAAAGTTTAGTAGGTTTGGGGTGGTGGGGTAGGAGGAAGCTTTGGGGGGAGGGATGCAGATACTGGTGGAGCGAGGAGTGTTCCCGCAACTCTATTGTTACCAAGATTGTAAATCTCAGAGCCAACCTTAAAAAAAAATGTTTTAAAGGGTCAGTGAGATACTACAGAGGGTGGGCGCTTGCCTTATATGCTGCTGACCCTGGTTTGATGCCCAGCACCCCACAAGGTATCCCAAGCCCACCATGAGTGATCCGGAAGTGCGAAGCCAGTAATACACCCTGAACACTGCCAGGGATTTACACACACAGACACACACACACACACTTTTTGGGCCACTACCAGTGATCTAGCTCTGTGCTCAGGAATCACTCCTGCTGGTGTCCGGGGGACCACCTGGGGTGCCAGGGAACAAACCCTTGTCAGACATGTGCAAAGCAAGCGCCTTGTCCACTGTACAATCTCCCCAGGCCTCCCTGGGGCCACATTACATTTTGGGGGGGGGGTGAAGGAAACTGGGGACACAGGTGAAGGGATTGGTTTTGGAATACTGTATGCCTGAAACTCAGCCCTAAGTAACTTTGTAACTCTGTGGTTCTGGTGATCCAGAATAAATAAAATTATATTTTTGAAGAGCTGTTTTTCTTAGAAACCAGGATGCCTGAAGCACTTAGCTAAGTGATTTATAAGGACCAGCTCACTTTATCCTTAACATGAGATCAGATCGCTACTATGTATTGTGTCTATTTCATAAACAAGGAAACCCAAGCTCAAATATTAGTTGATATTTTGTTTCGGACCCATACCTTGCAACACCCAGGGGTCACTTGCCTGACTGTGCTCAGGAATTAATCTTGGTGGTGCTGGAGAGACCTGGCCAAGAATCAACCCTGGTTCCGTTCATGCAAGGCAAGCTCCCTACCTGCTATACTCTCACCGACCCCTCAAGGTACCTAGGTTCGATCCTGGACCACTGTCTCTAGGCACAAGGCCAGAAGCAGCCCCTGAGCGACACCGGGCAGGGACCCTCAATCCCCACAAACACAAAAAAAAAGTAAAATAACTTGTCCAAGAGCACTCAGAGAGCACTCCTAAGGGAGCACACTCAAACCCTCATTCCTTCTCATCAGACGCAGCCGGCTGCGTGGAGCGCACGGCCTGGTTTCGCGGCCCCGCAGACTTGGCTGTGGAGTCCGCCCCAACGTGCACCGTTCTGGCTTCTGTTTCCCCCTCTGTAAAATGGGAGCACCAGGTCCTGCCCGCGCGCAGCCCGCGCCGGGTCCCCACCGCAGACGCCTAGACTGAGTCCCGCACGCCCGGCTCCCGCCCGAGGGCTCACGCTCCTCCCGTGCTCGGGACACGCCGGGACGCGGGCAAGAGGCGCGGGGACTGACCTCCTGCGCTGCCCGCGATGCGAATGCTGCCCGCAGCCTCGCCCATCCCAGACCCAGAGCTGGTGGGGTGGAGGTCAGGGGTGACCCAACTCGGGTCACGTGCCCAACGAAGTGGGCGGGCACCCAGCGGAGCGGGCTCCGGGGCAGCGAGTGCACGGCCCGCCCCGCGGACACCCGGCGCCCCTGGCCCCGCGGGGCCTGCTCACCTGGACGCTCCGGCCGAGGCGGCAGCGGCGGCGGCGGCGGCTCCACTCACCCAGCTCGCTCCGATTCCCTCTTTCGGAGCCCAGGCCCCGCCCTCCACAGACACAGCCAATCGACCGGCGCCTTCGGAAATTCCCGCCCCGCCGGAAAGGTGTCCGTCCACGCGATTGGCCACCTGGAAAGGGCTGTTAAAAAAAAAAGCCCCAAGTGCCGGGGGTCACGTGACACTGAGGCGTCACTCTCCTTAAAGCAACAGTGCGTGGAAGTTTGGCTAGCAGGTGCGTGCGCGAAGTGTGACGAGGCTCAGTGAGCCGGTTCTCGGAGAACGCGTCTGCCTCGACTCCGTCTTGGCTACTCTTAAGTTGGAAGTTCACTTGGGCGAAACTCCAAGCGCACAAGAGAAAGCTTTAAGACTTTATTTAGGGGCTGGAGGGATACTACAGTGGGTAGGGCGTTTGCCTTGCACGCGACCAACCCGGCCAACCCGGGTTCTATTCCCAGCATCCCATATGGTCCTCGGAGCACCGCCAGGAGTAATTTCTGAGTGCAGAGCCAGGAGTAACTCCTGTCCATCCCCGGGTGTGACCCAAAAAGCAAAAAAAAAAAAAAACCCACTTTATTTATTTTGATTATTATTTTATTATGATTTTTGGGTCACACTCGGCGATGCACAGGAGTTACTCCTTGCTCTTGCACTCAGGAATTACTCCTGGCAGCCACATCCGGCGATGCACAGGAGTTACTCCTGGCTCTTGCACTCAGGAATTACTCCTGGCGGTGCTCGGGGGACCATATGGGATGCTGGGAATCGAACCTGGGTCAGCCAGGTGCAAGGCAAACGCCCTCCCCGCTGTGCTATCACTCCAGCCCCACTTTAAGACTTTAGTGTGGAACTCAGTTGACTTCAAAATCTTGCCTGTCATCTTGGCACCAATGAATGGGGCTTCCCACAACAAGATGATATACCTTCTCATCTGATCCAACCAACACCCCCTTCCAGACCCAATGGAAAACCAGTCGCCACTCAACAACAAAAACAGCCTTTTGAAATGGACAGAAAGGACCAGGGGTGATAGCCTAGCAGGTAAGGCAGGTAAGGTGCTTGCCTTGCTCCTGCAAAAGGCGGATCCCCCGCACTGCTTACTGTCTCCCACCCCTGCCAGGAGTGATCCCTGAGTGCAGAGCCAAGAGTAAGCCCTGAGAGGAGCCGGGTGTGCCCACTTCCCCCCCCCCCAAAAAAAAAGAACAGAAGACATGAGCTGATGTTTCCCAAAGAGGAAACAGAGATAGCCCAAAGGTATATGAAAAGTCAGTCATCCTTGAATACCGTTAGGAAAATGCAAATCCGAACCATCACGAGGTATTACCTGACATCAGTTGGAATGGCTTACACTGAAAAAACAAACAAAACAGAGTAACCTGTGGGGCGGGGAAAGATCATTCACTTTAGTCAACTAGGCACATACTCTGCATCAGAGAGAGACCCTGGTTTGATCCCTGGCACACCCCAACACCACAACCAGGAGCAATCCCTGAGCACTGTGCTCAGAGTAACTTCTTCGCACTGTGGATTGTGGTGCCAGAAGCACCACTGGGAGCGAACCCTAGGCACTCTCCCTGTGTCCCCAAAAATCAAATGAAAATAACAACTATTGTCAAGGGTGTAGAGAAATAGAACCACATTGTGTGAATATGAACTCATGCAACATTTTGGAAACAGTACAAAAATAACCTTAAAGAAAATCTAGAGGGGCTGGAGTGATAGCAGAGCGGGTAGGGCGTTTGCCTTGCACGCGGCCGACCCGGGTTCGAATCCCAGCATCCCATATGGTCCCCTGAGCACCACCAGGAGTGATTCCTGAGTGCAGAGCCAGGAGTAACCCCTGTGCATCGTCGTATTCCTCCTCGCCCCCCAAAATCTGGGATCGGTGTGATGACAGCTTAGAGGGTGGAGCATGTGCTTTTTTGCATGCAGGTGGCCTGGCTCCATTAGCTCCCTGCACACCACAGAGGCAACCCCACCCCCAGCACCTAATAGAAAGCACCTCCAAGCTGGGTAGCTCTGAGCAAAGCTGGCGACAGTTCCCAAATAAAACAGCAAAATAATCTAAAAACAAGGCAGGAAAAAATAGCTCCATGGGCTAGGAAGTAACCCCCAAGTACTGTGCCCTCTTTGCACCGCCAGATATGGTCCAAAAACTCAGCAAAAAGAATCAAACTAGGGGCCAGAGTGATAGCACAGTGGTTAGAGCGCTTGCTTTGCATGCGGTAGGCCAGTGGTCAATTCTTAGCATCCCATATGGTCCCCCAGCACCACCAGGAGTGACTCCTGAGTGCAGAGCAAGGAATAAGCCCTGAGCATCACCAAGTAGGACCCAAAAAACCAAAAATTAATAATAATGAATCAATCTAAACTCAGAGCTACTGGGGCCAGAGAGTTAGTAGAGCAGGTCGGGCATTTGCTTGGCATGCAGATGACTTAGGCTTGATCTCTGGCATCACATGAAGTCTTCTGAGCCCCATACGGAGTGATACCTGAGCACAGAGCCAGGAGTAAGGCCTGAAATAGCTGGCTGTGGCACTAAACTCAAACGAAATAAAAACAGAGCTAACATATGATCTAGCAATGCCCCACTGGGAAAGACTTATCTAGTTAATGCAAACTTGAGCTAGAAAAGGTTACACTCACCCCAGTGTTTATTGCAAATTATTCACAAGAGCCTGGGTCAGCCTGGCTGGCAGCGTGCAAGGCAAACGCCTTACCACTGTGCTATCACTCCAGCCCAGGTTCGATTCCTCTGCCCCTCTCGGAGAGCCCAGCAAGCTACCGAGAGTATCTCGCCTGCACGGCAAAGCCTGGCAAGCTACCCATGACGTATTTGATATGCCAAACACAGTAACAAGTCTCACAATGGAGATGTTACTGGGCCTGCTCGAGCAAATCGATGAATAACAGGAGGACAGTGCTACAGTGCTGTTCACAAGAGCGAAGATGCAGAAACAAAGGAAGTGGCCATTTTTGATGACTAGATAAAGAAGATGTGGTTTAGAGTCTGAGAGAACTAAGCTCACCAGCTGGAGGGTATGCTTTGCATGCAGGAGGCCGGGCTACCATGTGGTCCCCCATGCACCTACAGAAGAGATCCCTGAGCATGGAACCAAGAGTCGCCTGAGTACTACCTGGAGTGACCCCAGAACACATAGAAAAATAGATGTGGTGGGGCTGGAGCGATAGCACAGCGGGTAGGGCGTTTGCCTTGCACGTGTCCAACCCGGGTTCAATTCCCAGCATCCCATATGGTACCTTGAGCACCGCCAGGAGTAATTCCTG